GCGCCGGGCGCGCAGGAGCCGGAGCCGGTGTCTGAGTCTGTATCGGTGCCGGTGCCCGGTGCCCGGTGCCAGTGGTTGTGCCCGGTGCCCGTTGTCCGGTGGCGATACCCTGTGCCCGGTGTTCGGTGCCCAGTGCCGACAGCCGGTGTCCGGTGTTCAGTGTCCGGTGCTCAGAGCCCGGTGTTGGGTGCTCGGTGTCGGTGCCCGGTGTCCCGTGTCCGGTGCTGCCCCGCGGGGACGATGCGATCGCGCTGCGGCCGCCCCGGCTCCCGCCGCTTAATCGGCTCCGCGGCCCCGCCCCGGCCCCGCCCCCGCCCCGACCGGCACCGGCAGCCCCGGACCCCCCGGACCCCCCGAGCGCCGGTCCCGGGGCACGTGCGGGGCTCCCCGGCCCGCGCCGGCCGCTCGTACCGGGGGGGCGGCGGGAGGTGACGGGCGGGAGGGGGAAGCGGCCGCTGACCCGGGAAGGGGAAGTGTCGCCGGGGCCGGTCCCGGGCCGGGACCGGGGGTCCCGCCGCCGCCTTCCGGCCATTGACAGCCCCGGACCGGCGGCTTCCTGCGCCCGGGACCCGCGGGCGCCTTCCCACGGCGCCGCTCCCACGGGGCTGCCCGCCCGGCACCGGCACCGGCACCGGCACCGGCACCGCGCCGCCCCCGGCAGGGGCACCCCGGCACCCCGCAGCCCCTATTACCCCGCTGCTACCCCCGCCGTGGGCACCCCAAAAACCACAGCACCCTGGAGCCCCCGGCGTGGACACCCCGAAGGTCATGGCACCCCAGAGCCGCCGGCGTGGGCACCCCAAAAAGTCACGGCTCCCTGGAGCCCCCGGCGCGGCCCCTGGCACCCCGGAGCCCGCAGGGCGGAGTGGCCACGGTGCCCCCTCCGCCCCCAGCGCCCTCCCCGCGGGCGCTGCCGGGGGGCACCGACCCCTGTGTGCGGCCGCACCCCCCGTGTGGGCCCGGGGAGCGCGGGGAGCGCCCGGGGCCGGCGCAGAGAAAGGGGTCGTGGCCGCCCCCCCGCTGGCGGCCCCCGGGGTCCCGCTGCCTTTCAATGGCCCGCCCCGCTTCAAAGGGGCCCCCGGAGCCGCAGCAACGCCCCGGCCCCCTCCCCACCCTCGCTCCCCGCAGACACGGCGAGGACAGCTCTGCCCTCCTCCGCCACCCACCCCGCTCCTCGGGGCTCGCTGCCATCGCCACCCACCCTCCGGCACGCAGCGGGACGGGACCCACCGGGACCGAGCCCCGAGGGCACCTGCGGCCGGGCGGCCGCGGGGAGAGGCGGCGGTGGAGGGCACGGCGGTGCCGGGGGGCCGCGTCCGGCCCCTTGGCCATGGAGGAACAATGATCCCTTGGTGCCGGGCTGGAGGACAAAACGAGCCCCGCGCTGGAATGCCAGTGCCTCAGCAAATTATTGAAACAAAAATAACATTTCTTTGTACAATAATCCTGGGGCGGGGAGGGTCCGGGCAGCGCTGCCAGGGGCCCAGAACTGGTATTTTTCCACCGCTTTTCCTCCTTTTTTTTTTTTTTTTTTTTTTCTTTTTTTTTTTTTTCGCCCCCCTCCCATAACTCCCACCATTGTTCCTTCCCCCACTCCCTTCCCACTCCTCCCACGCTCGGCACCGCATGAGCGGGGCTCCCTTGTTCCCGCTCGCCCAACGCGTCCATGGGCCGGGAGCCCGGGCCGGCCGCCCAGCGCCTTCGCTCCCCAGCTGCCGGGGGCTGGCCGGGGGCCAGCGGAGCCACAGCGGAGCCATAGCGACCGGCCCCGCTCCCCCAGCAATGGTGCCCACCCCCCGCTCCCGGCAGACCCCCCGCTCCAGCCCCGGGATGGGGATCCAGCCCACGCAGCCCCCCCCGGGCTTCATTCTAAGCAGGTTCAGGGGCTGCTCCTGCGGCAGCCGGAGATGCTGAGCGCAGGGACGGGCTCGGCTGGGGGGTCCTGCCTCTGTCCCCCTCCCCACAACAGGTCGAGGCCGACCCCGCCAAGCGCGGATTCGTGCCTCGCAGCAGCCTCAGCGTTCCCTTGCCACGTTTTCCTTCCTCCACAGTTGGGTTTTTTCCCCTCGTGTAACACAATCCCAAGCCCTGGCCCTTCATTATATCCCTGCTGGCAGCTCCTCATCCTCCTCCCTCTCCCTGTGCCATCGCCCTCGCGGCGCTGCGTGCCCAAGGTCGGACCCACGCCTGCAAGGGAGGGGGCAGGGGGTGGTTTTGGGGGTCGTGCCCGGCGCTGGAGGTGCAGCAGCTGCTCCGGGAGAGGGACCAGCGCCATCGGACCGTGGCGAGGACAAATTATTCTAATGAGCTTCCTCCTGTAAACGAGCCACGAGCACTGAGAGGTGCCCAAGGAAAAAACCCACGGGGGAAAAATCCACAGGGGAAAAAACCCATGGGGAAAAAAAAAAAAAAAAAACACGGGGGGAAAAACCCCACAGCGCTGTCATCGGTTTCCAGCATCCCTAAAACCTGGCCAGGGCCTTCCCACGCCTGCGTGACCCCAGATTAGGGGCAGTTTGTGCAAGATGCGATGCAAAGTGACTTTTCCCAAGCGTGACCTGAGTTATCAGTGAATTATCAGAGCTCAGGGCTCCTCCCGAGCCTGCAGCCGGCCGGGTTTTGCCACCCGGGCGGACACGGGGATGCTCCCGGTGCGGCGCTCCCGGCTCCCGGCGGTGCCGATAAGGAGGCGGCGGCGGCAGGAGCCCGGCTGGCTCTGGCACAGCAAACGCAGCCAGTAAATTTCCACTGGGGCAGCTCCGAGTTAATGAGCTCAATGCGTGACCCCGGGCAGCGCCGGAGCTGCCAGCGGTTGGGAGGAATTCCCCAGGAAAGCTGGGAGGGGATGGGGACCCTTCCTGTGCGAGCGTCCCCGCGGGGCAGGAGCCGGCCCCGGAGCCGCTCAGCGCCCCGGGGGAAGCTCACGGAGGGTAAAGGGGGCCTGGGGTGCAGAGCTTGGCTCAGAAGCCACATCTGAAACTAAAACTGGAGGATTTGGGGTTTTGCAAGAGCCTGGGCTCAGCTCTTGCTCCGTGGCCGAGTCCCTCCGGTGTCTCCTCGTGCCGTGTCAGCTGCAAGGACACCTTTTAAAAAATAAATCAAAACGTTGTAAAAGGTTATTTGACCGCCTGGATGATTGTCACCTTCTCCACAGCGTGCTGTTTTGGAGGGACAATCCCGAATGCAGCACTTAACCCAAGGGAACACGTTATGGGCACAGGGAATGCAGGGCCAGCACCTGCAGCCTCCAGCCCTGGGTTTGTGCTGCTCACCCTCTGCTCCAGGAGGGAGGCAGCACGAACACAGCAAAATTCCAAAGCCATTGCACTCCTGAGTAGTTTTATCCTTGGTTTTATTCTGCCTGCTCCATCCAGCCCCGGGGATGCTGCTGAAGGCAGGCCCAGAGCAATCCACGGTGACAGCAAGGCAAGGGACACTCCTGACACAGCCCAGTTTGCATCCCGAGCTTTTTTTGGGATGATTCAGCCAGGTGGGAGGAGGTGAGAGCTCCAGCAGGGTCTGTGCCAGGCTCTTCCCCACCTCCTGCTCCAGCAGCACCCCGGGGCTGAGCCTCAATCCTGCAGCAGCCCCTCGGTGCATCCCGAGCATCCCCGAGCCTCCTGCTGCCCCGGGGCCACGGCCCCTCCGGGCAGAGCCCTGAGCATCCAGCGCCTCCTCCAGAGCGGCTTTTCCTCCAGAATCCCCCGGGCTGCTGCAGTGGGAAGCCCCCAGCTGGTGCCAGGGCTGGAGGCCGATCCCAGCGCAGCGTTCCAAGGAGCTGGCCCGCTCCAGGCACCTCTTCCCTCTCCTCTTTCTTACCTAGTCCCTGCTCTGACACTCGAGCTGGCTCAAGTGACCCGGTTCCTTCCCGTTTCCTGCTTCCAAGCTCCACGCCAGCCATTTATCACCTTTCCCTTTTGAGTCTCCTTGCAGGGAGAAGCACTGAAAAGAAATCCACAACCTTATTGTCTGCTTGTTTTCCAATACAGTGAATTTATTATATGTTGCAAAATCAGCATTCAGCTTTTTTAGTGTACAAAAAAAGGACACTAGCTCTTAAGAAAAAAGATTAGGAAAGCTGAAGACTATGCTGCCTTGAAATTGTAACATTTTGGCAAAGTGAAAAGCTCTTTTGTAAACTCCAACTCCATGGCTCAATATAGTTTTTATCCACAGTACAATATTACAAAGTAAAACACAGTATCAATAAGTTAAGATCATACTTAAATCACCTAGAACTGGTTTCTATTAACCCAAAAAGCACAAAATTTTGCCTAAGCTTCGTCTCTAAAAAAAAAAAAAAAAAAAAAAAAGAAAAAAAAAAAGGCAGATTCGACTACAATTCTTTAACACAGTCCAAAAGAAAAGTGAAGCAGGAAGTTGGTGGATGCTAATTGGGTCTCACAGTTTGGATAATTAATTAAATATTTTCAGGGTTTTTTTTTTATATTCAAATTTTTTAGAAGTTCCAGAATATACATGTAAATGTACACAATACATCTTTGTATACAACTCTGTTTGCAAAAATATCTTATAGCAGATGTATAAAGATTGAGATCCATCTCTATCCCCCCCCTCCCCAAGCAACAACAACAACAAAAAAAACCCCCTCCTTTCAAAATATTAAGGATCAGGAGAAGTGTTTCCATGGAAGAATTTACTCATCCTGGCTTTGGAGCTGCTGCCTCTTCTGCCATCCCGAGTTCCACCTCCTCCGCAGTCGCAACGAAGCCCCCACCAAGCACTGGGGAAATTCAGATTTTCCACCCCAAAATCCCAGCCTTGGGCAGGGCTGGCAGTGCTGGGCTGTGCAGTGACAATCCCAGAGCAGGGCTGAGGATTTGGGATGTGCCAGGTCCTCCCCATCCCCTCCCAAATCCCCAGAGTGGGGCTGAGGATTTGGGATGTGCCAGGTCCTCCTCATCCCCTCCCAAATCCCCAGAGCAGGGCTGAGGATTTGGGATGTGCCTGGTCCTCCCCATCCCCTCCCAAATCTCCAGAGTGGGGCTCAGGATTTGGGATGTGCCAGGTCCTCCCCATCCCCTCCCAAATCCTCAGAGTGGGGCTCAGGATTTGGGATGTGCCAGGTCCTCCTCATCCCCTCCCAAATCCCCAGAGCGGGGCTGAGGATTTGGGACGTGCCAGGTCCTCCTCATCCCCTCCCAAATCCCCAGAGCAGGGCTGAGGATTTGGGACAGGCCAGGTCCTCCTCATCCCCTCCCAAATCCCCAGAGCAGGGCTGAGGATTTGGGATGTGCCAGGTCCTCCTCATCCCCTCCCAGATCCCCAAAGTGAGGCTGAGGATTTGGGATGTGCCTGGTCCTCCCCATCCCCTCCCAAATCTCCAGAGTGGGGCTCAGGATTTGGGATGTGCCAGGTCCTCCCCATCCCCTCCCAAATCCCCAGAGCAGGGCGGAGGATTTGGGATGTACCAGGTCCTCCTCATCCCCTCCCAGATCCCCAAAGTGAGGCTGAGGATTTGGGATGTACCAGGTCCTCCCCATCCCCTCCCAAATCCCCAGAGTGGGGCTGAGGATTTGGGATGTGCCAGGTCCTCCTCATCCCCTCCCAGATCCCTGTGGCTCCGCTCCAGGCCAGAATTCCCGGCTGCAATTCCTGGAGCACCGAGATTCCCAGACACATCTCCTTGCCTCCAGAACTCCCAGCGTTTTCCAGAAGCACCAGAGGCAGGAGGAGGTGCTGCCCCAAGGCTCCCTGACCTCCAGGGTTGATGTGGGCAGGAAGGGATGGGAGCAAAGCATTCCTGACCCCCGGGATTCCCAGCAGGAATGCCCTGGGGGGTTCTGGGGTGCTCCCCCTGTGCTCCTTGGGCAGAAGGAGCCTTCTCCACCCTCCTCCTCCGTAGGTTTGGGGCTGAGGAGCAGTGGAAGACTGGTGGCATTGCAAGGGCCACCGTGTCACTCTGGCTGTCACCTTTCCCTTGGAGAAGGGGATGGCAAAGCCCTGCTGAGCGCTGGATGCACAGGGAGAGACCTCAGAATAAAGTGACAAAGCAAAAGCAGTGGCCCTGGCTGTGTGACAACAGTGAAATTATAATATAATAATAATAATTAGTCATTTTATCTCCTATTTTTAATACAGCAGATGGACCCACGTTTTGTTTGGGGCAAGGGGGGGAAAAAAAAAAAAACCAAACTCAAAACAACTCCTTGTTGTAAGAAGTGTTTCCCTCCTGAACTCTGCCATTCCTCTCCTTGAAAGGGTGAAAGGCTCTTCAGTGCAACCTCCAAGGGAAGGAGACTCCACAGGGAAGGAATCCTTTACTTTGAGATAAACGGAAGCGGGAAGAAGTCAAATCCCAAAGGCTGGCAGGATTAAAAAGGGGAGAGGGGAGAGAAAGAAAGGAACAGCAGAGTTAAAGGACACCTTTGTGCTTTTTGGAGTGTTTCTCACACCCTGGCCATACTCTAAAACGTTCCCTTCAATCCAAAGTAAAGAATTAAATAAAAAAATCAGGAAGCAGGACTGCAGGGAGAAGCTGGCTGAGATAAAGCACACCAGTGGAAGGGATCTGCGTGGGAAAACAGCACCTTACTGCTCTCACAAGGATTTGCTGCTGCCTTGCAAAGACACACACACAGACACAAAAAAACCCCAAAAAAAAATACCCCAGGAGAAAGCAGAGCATCCCCCACCCCCTCCTGTCATGGATCAAGGAATAAAGTCACTCCTTGGGGTGACTCTTGGGTCAGTTTTAGTAATACTGCAAGGAAAGGGTCCCAAGCACTTGGCCTAAAAGGAAAAGGGAGGCACAGTTTTAGAAAAAAGATGCTTTTTTTTTTTTTCCTTTGATATAAAAATAGACCATAGTCTCATTAGCAATTAACAAAATTGGCTGCCTTGGTAGAAAATTAGAAAAGTCAAAGCCAGACAGGTCTCCATCTCCCCAGCACTGGTGGCTGGAGCTGAACTGGGCAGACTGGGCAGGAGGTTTTGCACCCAAACACACAAAGCAGATTAAAAAAAAGGGGATTTTGGGGTTTGTTTTTTTTTCTTTTGGGATCCACCTCTGCCCTGGCCAAAGTGCTGAGCCCCCAGGGGACCCCCTGTGCTGCCAGCACCCCCCACCCCCCGAGGATGCCAATGACAAAGCAGGGCCAGACAAGGAGAGCTCAGGGAAGGAACGTGGTGTATTTCCGCGGAGCCGGGAGCACACAGCTCTCATTCCAAACAGTCCTAGCAGCAATTCCAGTTCCTCACCATTTGTAGGACAATTTTGTAACCCACGTGGAGCTGGGGAATTATTACAACTTCATGCCAAACTTTTAATCCATGAAAACTACAGATTCTTAACCTTTGGGAGCTTCGGTCACTTTAGGCAAGTTTTCCCTTAAGTGTCAAACGCTGGCTTCAAATAAGCAGAATTTTTTTTTTTTTTTTTTTTTTTGTTTGTTTTTTTTTTGTTTGTTTGTTTGTTTTTGTTATCCATTTGTTACATTCCAACATTCAGAGAGGCTTAAAAACTCGGGAGGAGCGTGCTGGACGTGGACATGACAGATCTGGCATCTTAAAGTCATCCCCAAGTTCTTCAACCACGAGGAATTAATGCTCGTCTCTGAAAGGGATTTTGGGTGTATAAAAGGGAACGTAACGTCCAGGGTGACTGGATTTTGGTTTGCCCTACCCAGTCCAGGGGTGAGTGGCAGCTAAAACTGCTGCTGGTCATACTCTGCTATCAGTTTTTTGATGTGGGCCAGTTTGTTGTGGAGGTATTCGCAGCGGTTCTTCTCTTGGCTGTAGTTGGGGTTTGTCTGTAAAATAAAACAAAAAAAAAAAAAACAAAAAAGAGGAAGTGCAGAGGTGGGAAAGGTTCTGGACAAATCAAAGCTGAGCCTTGACAGCACAGAACAGATCATGGGATGGTTTGGGTTGGAGGGAATGCAAAGATCATCTCATCCCATGGGCAGGGACACCTTCCACTGTCCCAAGCCCCATCCAACACTTCCAGGGATCCAGGGGCAGCTTCTCTGGGAATTCCCTCCCATTCCCTCCTAATATCCCACCTAAACCTCCCCTCTTTCAGTTTAAAACCATGGAAAGAAGCTTTTGTAGATCCCTCTTGAAAATAATCCTGTTCTGATCCAACCCAGCCAAGAACAAAATCCCTTTTCAGCATTATCCAGCTCCAGGAGCTTCCTCACAGGGAAGGAGCACACCTGAGTTAGGCTCAGCCTAACTGGGCTTCCAACAATCACCACCTGCCCTCTGCCCCCACCTCTGGAACAAAGATGAACTCCCAACATGCAGGGAATATCTTCAAAGAGCTCCTAAATCCCACAGGACAACAGGGCTCAGGACCATATTTACTTATTTCAAATAAAAACCCCCAAATCCCCACTGGCGTGCGGATGCTTTGCATAAAAATACTGAAATTTTACACGCCCCAAACTCCAAAAACGTGGGGACAGAGCTCCAGACAGAGCCTGATCCCAGCTGGGATCCTGTTATCCCTCAGCCTGTGCATCTGAAACACAAACTGTTCCTTCCCTGGAGAGATAAAGGCCCTGGGTGAACACAGCCATTGTGCCACGGCCACGGCTCAGCGAGCCCCAGGATCCAGGGGCACTCCCAGCTCCCCCCAAACCCTTTCTGAGCTGCTTTTAGGGACGGGCTGGAGCTGAACAAAGATCTGCTGGAATTGCCTCAGAGCCTGGGTTTGCTCTTGGCAAGGGCCCATCTCTTTCAGTCACACCAGGGGCACCACCCAAAAGCCTTCTGTGGCCAAGGACATTCCCTTACCTTTTTAATTTTTCGATATTCCTGTAAAATTTGATCGTGGATGGTCTAAAAACAAAAAAAAAAAAGAGAGAGGGAAAAAAATGAGGGTATTATTTTCAGTTCTGCAGTAGGTATTTACTCAATGTACACAATTCCTCCAAATTGCAACCAAAATCTGCTGCCTCCATGGCTTCCCTGGGCAGATCCACAGGCTACAACCAGCTCTGATTCCATGGATATCCTGGAGCTGACACACAAGGATGAAGCCCCAGTCCCCACCTGTGACAAGCACCTGGATTCCAGGATAATTCACATTTCCAAAGCTCCAACTGATCTTTTTTTTTTCCCCCCCACCAAGATCTAAAAACAATCCAACGTGGAATTTTGCAAGGAGAAGGGCAGGAGGTTTGAGGGAGGAAGCTGTGCTTAGCACAATAGGTGCTCTGTAAAAATCTGTTTATTATCCTCGACGAGACTCACTTTTTCAAGCTAATGAATAGCTGAAACTCTTTAAAAATCACTCTGACAAGCCCAATAATGCTGCATTATTAAGATCAAAGATTGCAGAGGAACAGATGACCCCGTGCTAACTCCCCTTCCAGCCCTGATACGCTCCCATATGTGCAAATATGAGTTTTTCTGGCTGGGATACACTAATAGCTTCCAGCAGCTTTTGGCTAAGGACACCAATTGTCTCACTGAGGCCTTTCCTTGTCAACAAGTCCCATGATGTGGCTCCAGCCTGAAAAAGGAGCAGCGCAGAGCTGGGTTAGGAGCATTCCCCAAAGCTGTCAGCTGTGTGCACGTTCCCCAGCAGCTCCGAGGCTGGAATTCAGACACCGACCCAGCCCAACGAGAGCAAACCAAAGACCTGCAGCTCCGAAAGGAGCTTTTACACCTCTGCTCCTACCTTGTATTCCTCAGAGCCCTGCAGAAGCTGCTTCAGCTTGGCATCCAGCTGGGTAAACCGTCGGGTTATCCGCTCTATCCGGGCGTGCAAGTCCCGGTACTCGTTGTACTCCGCGTTGAAGTCGTTTTTGTAGCTCTGACGCTGCTCCGAGGAGGAAATGGCTGCGTATTTTCTGCAGGGGGGGGAAAGGGGTTTGGTCACTGGGTTTTGAGGAGGGGAATTGGTTTTAGGGGGATTGGTTTTAGGTGGGATTGGTTTGGGGGGTTTGGTTTTAGAGGGGGGGATTGGTTTTAGGGATTCTCTCTGGGTTGCCGAGCACGGGGGGATGAGCGTGGAAATAAAATCATGGATAATTTAGGATCAGCCAAATGGGGTTTTGGGAAGGAATTCTTCGCTGTGAAGGGTCTGGGATGGAATTCCCAGAGAAGCTGTGGTTGCCTCACGCCTGGAAGTGTTTGGAGCACCCTGGGGTAGCGGAAGGTGCCTGTGCCCGTGGCGGGGGGGGACTGGATGGGTTTCAGCTCATTCCAGCCCAAACCATTCCAGGATTAAAGCTGGAAAAGCCCTCCAAGATCAAATCCCAAGCACTGCCAAGGCCACCACTAAACCACATCCCCAAGTGCCACATCCACACGGCTTAAATCCCTCCAGGGACGGTGATTCCCTGTCCCAGTGAAGAAACTCTCCCTAATAATCCCATCCAAACCCCCCTGGTGCAGCTTGAGGCCGTTTCCTCTCATCCTGACTTAAAAGTAGCAAATCACAGAGGCAACCACCAAGGATTGCTGCCTTGACCTCCTGTAAAACAAACAATGCTTGCTCCCAAAACTTCCTATCTCTGCCAGATAGGGTGGAATGGGCAGGTACAGCCAAGCCTGGAGCAGCTGGGGGTGGAGGAGGACACTCAGATAGTGCTGCTACAGCTTCTCTGACTCCTGCTGGCCTGCAGAACATGGAGTTCTGCATCTGTGCCAGGCATTGGAACAGCAGGAATATGATGCTTCCAGTGTTAAGAGTCTTTAAAGGAACACAAAAAGCATTGAGCCATCGTTGCAAAACGCTGGCAGGGTGATTATGTGGCAAGAACACGACAAGAAACCACGGTGAGGAGTTTTATTCAGTTTTTTTTCCCCACCAGCAACTCTATTTCCAGCACCTTCTAGAGACACTTGATGTGTCCTGAGCTCAGGTTGAACTGATGTGCCTTTTGGGGGCCTTTTGGAAGTTATTCTGCTCAACAAAAAGCCATTAAAGCTGATATTTACAGCTCTCTCTGAAGGTAAAACTCATCTTTTGGTAGGTGATGGCTCAGATTTGCCTCCCTGCTCTGGCTGCTGCAGGGCCAGCGTGGTGCCTGAACGTGGAAAAGCTGATTTAAGCCTCAAATTAAGGGGAAAACTTTCAGTTTTTTAACTTTTTATGTGCTCTAAACTTCTAGAACAGACTCCTTGCCAGGGATAAAGAACCATCCACACAGGATAAAGAGCATCAAACAGCAGTGACAGGTTTTAGAATTTGAGGAGCTGGGCACAAACCAGTCAGATCACACTGGGTGAGACCACAGAGCTCCCAGAGCTCAGAAACCTCTCCCAGTTTCTTTGGGGAGGGCCCAAGGAGCTGCAAAATCCCATTCTGGATCCCATTTTGCAATATCCCATTTTGGGAGGGATCAGCACGTGGGTGAGAGGAAAAAAAAACAACACCTCCAGCCACACAAATTCTGTGGAACAACCCTAAAAATGTCACCTTGAAGGGGTTGTTTGTATGGCTGATCCAGCCCAGCAAAGCAGAAACCACAGCAGAAACCTTTATCTGCCCTAGAGCTTCCTCCTCCTCCTCCTCCATCCCTTCCCTTCCAGCAATCCCAGCACAGCCAAACCAGCTCTGATGGAAACAACCCCAAGGTTGGGACATGAACAGGGAATTTTCCCCCCCAGCTACAAGTTTTTCCCTGCCCCAAAGCTTTGTTTAGAACAGGTTTGGGTTTATGCAGATTCTGGGCTTCCTTCACAGGGATTTTTTTGGGCTTTGGTTGTTTAATTAACCTCGAGGGGATCTGATTAAAGAGTCAAGAAACAACTCAGATCCTAACCCAGGGGTTAGAGCCTCCCAGGAAAGAATATTTCACTGCTTTATGGAGATGATCTTGGCTCTGAAGAGGGCAAGAATTAACAAACCATCCCAAATCCTTCCTTGCCCTGCCTTTCCCAGCCCAAAAGCAGATTATTCCCTCTCCAAGTTCCCAGCTGGAACATGGAGATGTTTAATCCTTACAAACCCCTCAAAGGTATGAAATGTTTCTTGAAGTGCTTAAACAATTTATAGGAGATAACCTTGAACTCCTCAAGGAGGTAAAAACCAGCTTTGATATCAAGTTTAGTCTCAACTATTAACCTGCAGAGCTGGGTTTACTCTTTTCCTTACACCCACCTAACAAAGTTCTATCAAATGACACAAAAAGTCCAGCAAAAATCCCCAGCACGTTGTGATTTCTTAGCTTGAAACATGATCCCAAAGTGATGAAGCAACTGATAAAAATACTTACAATAAATAATCTGGCATTTCTGAAGTTGATGTTGGTACACTAGAATTATTGCATGTTCCATTTAAACCTGAAAAAATAAAGATTTGTTTATAGATGTTCTTAAACTTCAAAGCTCTTTGCAATTCAGCTTCAAACTCATAAAACTTGCCTGCAATATACAGTTTATGGAATTCTAAAGGATTTCTGTTTTGCTTGGAACTGACAGAGGCAGAGGAGCCACAACAAGGTGGCTGAAAGTTCAAGGCTCCTCCAGTATTTGTCTGTCAGCAAAACAACACCAACATCAGCCTGTGCACAGAGCAGGGAAAAAATCTGAATTAATTGGTGGATAAACAGTGCCTGGAGTGAGATAACACTGAGAGCACCACTGGGGAGCAGGAAAACACAGCCCTGAGCCCAGAGAGCTGAGCTGGGCAAGGTGAACCTTCTGTCCTCCTGCTTCTACACTTGGGACATTCCTCTGGCATCTCCAGGGTGAGATTCCTGAATGAAAATCCCAGAGCCCCACAGAGAGGGTTTTAGGGAATGCAGCTCCAAACACAAATCCAGGCATTAAAGAATGTTCAGAAACTGAAGGAAGAACAGAATAAAGCTAAAGCAGGCTCATCCTCCACATCCAAACAGTGCAGGGTAAACGTGGAGGGTGAAAGCAGCTGGATCCACGTTTGGAAAGGGATATTTTCCACAAATTATTAGAAATGTGTGTCACATTCCAAACCCTCAGCAGATCCAGCTGCACAACCTGAGTCAGCAGTACCCTGACTGCATCCTTAAAAAGATGGAATTTCCTCTAAATTTCCAGGGAAAAGCTTTCCTGAGCAGGATGGGAGAATGGCACAACCCCAGAGTTTCTGAAACCATCCCAATCCCAAATTCCTGCTGCAGCTCCTCCTGCTTTTCCCCACCCTGTTTCCTGACCACAGCTTGGAAGATGCAGAACAGGGTTTAAGGATGGTGGAAGGGACACAGGAGGTTTATTTTGCCTGTGAGTGCCACCTACTGACTGAAAGGACCCCAAAGGTCCCTCCAGAGGCTCTGGAACAGAATTCCTGGGAGAAACTCCCACTCCTGGCAGGAGCTGTCCCTGCCCACGGCAGGTGGTGGAACTAGATGATCTTTAAGGTCCTTCCAACCCAAACTTTTTGTGATTTTTTGCTTCCCTGCAGCTCCAGGGGGGAATCTGGGGAAGGAGCAGGATGAGGCTGGTGCTGCCCACAGAAGGAAAACATCCCAGTTGTGGCTGTCCAGGATCCAAGCAGGACTGACCACATCCTGTTTATGATTGCTCCCAGCCCAGCTTGCATTTGTTACCTCAAAACAGCAGCAGGAACAAACCCCAACTCCCAATGATTAACAAAAATCCAGGAATTAAACAGTAAAGAGAAGCAGAAAAGGTGGTGGAGGAGGCTCAGCAATTTCCCAGGAATTTGGGTATTTATAAGACAAAAAGAGAGACTGTGTGAGTGTCTCTCCAGAACCATTCCAGAGGCTCATGGGGAAGAGAAACAACGTGGAAAAAACACAAGAGCCACAGAAAAAAAACCCTGGGATTGACACAAAAGTAGAAGAATTCTCAGTTCTGCAGTGCCACACAGCCATCAGCCCCACGGACTGTCCTGAGCAGTCACTGCTGAGCCATCAAAATGCATTTTGTCACTGCTGCAAAGCCTGTGGGGAAGGGGAGGGCTGGCACCAGCTCAATCCCAACAGCCTGAGAAGTTCCCCCTTTCCAGGAATCCAGGAAACCAGTCTCCATTTCAAAATATTGTCCTTTTGGAGCCAAAACTGGAGGATTTTCATGTACCAAGGAGGAAGGGAAATGTAGAAAATAGCAACAGGGTGAAGGAAAACGCACAAAGGAATTTAACAGATATTCCCAGAGGCTGCAGGGAAAGTCCCAGTGCTCTGGGGAGCTGTAACAAACAGCAGAAAACATGGAAACAGCAGGAAAAGGAATGGATGGGATCAGCCAAGAAATATTCTCTGCTCTGACTTCTAAGAGTGCACGGAGCTGCCTTTGGAATAGTGGCTTGATGGAAAATGTTTTCACCCCACCTCAGTGAGATTCACTGCTGTGTCAGTCCTTGGATAAATAAATCCCCAGCCCAGTGGGATGTGAGGAAGCTTTTCCAGCCTGGAAGAGCTGGTTCTCCACTGCTTTAACAGCATTTATCACCAGGTTTATCTATCATTTCTTTTGTAGCCAATTTTAAAAGCTTTTGTGAGTAACTTTTCATTAAAAACCCAAACGACAGTCATCACAACAGCCAACACAAGCGCTGCACTGCTCTTCCCACTGCTCCCAGCCTTTCATCCCCACAGATTATCCCAGCTTTTAATTTAACCAGGAGAAACATGACACGCTCTGAGGCAGCTCCAAAAGGTTAAACAGGAAAAACCTGTGTGGAGAGGAAGCACCTCTGGTGATTTGGAAGGAGGACAGCGCTGGCATTTGGGTCCCCAGAGCACCTGGGACGGCCCAGGATGTGCCCATTCCTCCAGGGAATCCTGGCATCACACCCAGCCAACACCAAAGCACCTCTGGGCCCCCACTCACCTGGGACCTGCTCCTGGGGAACACTAACTAAGTCAGCATTTTTTATTACTTCACAGTTCTGCTTCTCCTCTTTGCACTTCTCCTCGCTCTTCTTCTCCTTCCTCTCCTTCTCCTTGTCTTTGTGCTTTTTGGATTTTTTCTTGGATTTGACGTAGGAGCCGCAGTTGTGTTTGCTGCTCTGGGCACAGTCTGTGGGCAGGGGGTGACTCAGTCTCTCGGGAGGCTCCGTGCTGCTCTCACAGTCTCTGCCGTTGTGAGTCAGGTCGTTGCTGACATCCGAGAGGGGATCGTGGGGCCTGGGCAGCTCCAGGGCCGGGAGGGAGGAGCTGGAGCTCACGGGGGGCTCGGGCAGAGCCGGGGGCAGGGCAGGGGGGGCCAGGCTGTCCTTCCCGTTGGAGGAATTCAGCTTCCCGTTGAGAGTGGGTTGGGTTCTGTGAGCCAAATGGGAGATCCTGGGCTTTTTGTTGGCCAGGGGGTCGATGAACTCCACAGGTAAGGGTCGTTTCTGTTAGGAAGGTGGGGGGGGAAAAAAAGGAGAAATAAATGGCCTTGAAGGTGCAGGAGTGGAGCTGGGTGTTGCCACTAGGTGGTGGTGCAATACAGGGGAGAAGGATGAACATCCTCGGGAAAAGCAGCTTATCCATCCCAAGCTGCTTCCCAGAGCCCAGGGTTTGGTGGGACAGCTTAAAGAATCCCATCAGCAATTCCTGACCCCCCCTATTATTCACACACAGCCCCAGCCTGCTCTCACTGCAGCTTCTTTCAAACCCAGCCCTTTGGAACTCAAACCCTGCAGCCTCCCTCCCCCTGTCCCAGGCAATTAGAGATTGGAAATATCCCTGGAAGTGTCCAAGGCCAGGCTGGACAGGGCTTGGAGCACCCTGGGACAGTGAAAGGTGTCCTTGCCCATGGCAGGGGTGGCACTGGATGAGCTTTAAGCTCCCTTCCAACCCAAACAACTCCAGGATAAAAACATCTGTCCTGAGCACTCCGAAGTCCCTGTGAAGGAAAAACGTGCTCAGCCCTCTGGAGCAGGGAGGGATTCATCAGTTCTGCATTTTATTCCCAGCTCTGTGGCCAAGAGCTCCAACCCTTCCCCGCTCCTTCCTCTTCTCAAGAGCGAGGCATTGCCCGGAAGAGGGGAGGAAGTGCCAAGTGCTCAGAATTTCAGTTCTCAGAATTTCAGGCAAAAGGGGACATCTAGAAAGCCACGTCACAGGGGCCAACGTGATCTGAGCAACCCTTTTTTGAGCAAGGGTAGAGAAGGAAGTGGTTCCCAGCTGTGCCCACACCTTGGAGGCAGCTGCCTCCAGCCTGGAAAAGCTGCTCCATGGAAGAAGCCATCCATCAGGCTCAGCCCAGCCAAAACCACCCTCACTGTGTGCCCACCTGGCAGCTCTGGGGCTGCAACAGCTCTCAGCCAAAGATGATTTTGTGCCCAGAGGAAAACAAGCGATAGCTCTGGGTATTTCTTTTGGATAATCCATTATTTTCTTTCTGTCTCAGGCAGGATCGCGACGTGTTTGTGAATGGAAATGTTGTTCCACCCAGCTGGATGGTGGCTGGAGCAGCCCCTAATTCCCTCTTTTTCACCTGGATTTTTCTCTCACTTTGCTAACTCAGGGGTCTTGAGGACACTGCTCGGTGCCAGGAATTCTTTCCACCTGTCAGGGTAATTAAGGAAGAGCTGCTGGTTCTGCCACTGAGCTCAAGGGGCAAGGACAGCACGTCCGACCGGCTTGGCAACATCACCTCCCCCAGGAGGGGCCATCTCCATCTGCAGGGCTCTGAACAGGTGACAGAGCTCAAAAATCTGCCACATTCTACAACCTTTTCTCGAAAAACAACCGATATCTGCTTCTCCAAACTCATCTCTCTGGTTAGGAGGGTTATACACATCCATTTCTAGAATTACCAGACCAATCCTCTTCACCTTCATTCCACAGATGAACCTTCCCAAAATATTCTGCATTCCAGCCTACCAAATCCCAATCCTCTGCTGGCACTGCACCCATTACAAACCATTTCTCTAAATAGAAACTACAGCCAGAGAGTATTAAAAAAGTGACAGCTCACAATGCTGTGGTTTTCTGTCTGACACGACAGAATCACGCTGGAAACATTTCTATTCCACATTGGGTTGTCCCTGTTCCACCAGCCTTTCCTAAATCCAACCCAACCAACCACCCAAAGTTTCAGCTGGGTCATTCTGAGAGATCAAAACCTCACCCTAAAGACCTTTGAATCCTTAAAATATGGACAGACAGAGAAACAAGATGATTTTTCAACCTTAAAAAACGACACAAGACCAGGATCTTTCAGAGCTAACTTGAAGGTGATCATTCTTCATTCACCAGGAACATGCCCACAGCAGAGCAGGAGAGGATTTGGAATCAGCTACCTGGCAAACAAGTTACACAGTCCTTGTTCTCAACCAGAGAATTGCCTCTCTCTCAGTGCCAGAGAGCACATAATTTCTTTACCTGTTAATATTCTTTGCCACTAATCCTCGGTGCGTCTGTCCAGACAAGCAGGCATTACACATTCCATTGGCAGGAGAAGAATAAATACTCAACTTGTCTGGGCTGACCCACACTGGAAGAAGGGAAGGCAGAACGTTTCACAACGCCAGCAACGCCTGTGCTGGGAGATCCTGGGAGAAGTGGGGACAAAACTCTGCTTGACACACGTCAAACGTGGCTCCTGTGTGGTTTATGGTCATGGAAAAAACAGGCAAAATGTTCTTTTCACAGCTCCCTGCTCTGGCATCTCCCAGGCAGGAGCAGCCCAACCTGCCCCTGATCTGTCATGGCAATTAGGCTGCAAAAGGTCAAGGGTTTTAATAACTCAGCCATGTTTGGGAGCTGCTTATTACAGCTTCGTTCCACTCAATTATTAGTAATGAGGAAAACACAAGCTCCTTCTCCCAGGAACTCCAGGAGGGATGGAGGCACTGCAAAAGGAATTTAGCCCTTAAAAACTAAACCTGAGCCTCATTGTCAGAGATCCTCCCCACAGGCCCTCGTCCAGAGGAGAAACAGATGCTGAGCAAAGCCAGAACGAGACTCCAAGTTAATAAAACAGAAATAAAACCCCAAGGACCTCCCGACCCGGCAGCAGGTGATTACAGGGTGCAGACAGGCACAGCTCAGCCTGGACCCAGGGCCAGCAGCAAAACCCATCAGGGGCTGGGAGGGGGATCACCCACCTGAGGGGGAGAGCTGGAGTTGAGGGTGTCCTTCGGAGGGCTCAGGGAAGGAGCTTCTCCCTGGAAAGCGCCGCTGTTCTGGGGCTGGCACAGCTTCCTGCAAAACACAACGGGGCTGGTCACAGCCCGTGCCAAGGGGACAGGTGGCACTGCACACCTGGGGCTCTTCCTGGCCTCAGACTCTGCTGGAAGGTGCCACGAAGGAGCTCGGTCAGGCTCTGGTCTCTGACAAAATCCGGGCAGGAGAAACTACTATGGGAAAATATCAAGGATAAACTGGAATTCCTCATCTCTTTCTTGCTTTCCCATGATTTTTGTGGCTCTTTTGGTAATGGGAGCAACACCTTGGAGCTCTTGGGACACATGAAAGGATTCCCTGTTGAATTTGGAACTCCTTTTTTAACAATTTTACATTTTTTCTCTTGAACTGGTGACGTAAGAATTAAAACAAATTAATTCCAGCCTCAGAAACATAATTCACACGGAGATCAGTGAAAGTGGCATTGAATTTGAAGGTGTAAAGGATATCAGATATTATTCCTGCTGATTGAAATACAGCTCAGGGAGACATTAATTAAACAAATTTCTGCTGAGTGTTTGCTTTCTGAGACAACTCAGAAAGCAAAGCCCACTGAAGAGGGGATGAAACTCAAGCTCAGAGGTTGAGGAATAAGTTCTCTCACTCATTAGCATCATTAAAACAACATTTTATGGCAACAGGAGCCCTTTCAGCAGCGAGCTCCTCTGGGTCCTGGAAAAGCAGCACTATAACAGGAACTGCTGAGGTATTATTGGTCCACCAGGATTTACATTTTGGGCTTCCCAATAATACTTTTAAGTTGCATCATGCAAAACAGAGCTACTCTGGGCTGTATTTGTGGTATTGGACAAAAGAAAAAAAACCTTTTGTAGCAACAAAAAGTACAATTAGAATCACTTGAATTCCCCTCCAGGCTGGGTCTCTGCTCCTCTGCAGATCTCAGAGTATTCTGACACCAGACTGCCCCTCAATTAATCATTCCCCCCCCCAAAAAAAAAACCCTACTCTTGCATCAAGTTGCAGCTGACAAACTGAAAAAACAAAACAGAATTCAGGGTTAAAGGTTTTAATAAAGCAGCTCTGCAGTCAGCTTGTCAGGAGCTGTGGAGCCTGAATAACCTCACTTTTAAATTCTCCCACAAGCAACTGGAATCAGCATTAAAGCTCACTCATATCCTTTAAACATTGGGAAGATTTATCTCAGAGATAACGCTCAGGACTTGACAAGATCTGGCTTTTAACCTGAGCTTGAACCTTGGGCTGTGCTGCAGCAATATTTAGACATCTGCAGTGTCACCACTGTCCTGGCTTTGTTTAATTTTATTTAAAACAACCTCAGCAGCCACAGATCAACTCAAGAAAAGGACCTGGGGATTGTGAACATGGGGACACTGATACTGCCCAAACACCCCGGTGAAAGTGGCTTTTGGAGCAAGCCTGTCACACCTTCTAATTGTTAATTATGGATTTAAGGAGTCATGAAAGCACTGAGTTCAGCAGAGGAAAGATTTCAGGGAATCCTGGAATGGTTTGGGATGGAGGGACCTGAAAGCTCAGCCAGTTACAGGCTGGGACACCTCCCACAGCCCAGGCTCCTCCAGGGTGACAGAGGGATGGAAAACATAAAAAAAGGAGGAAAACCGAGCTGGTTTAACCCAAGCCTAGTTAGACCCAGCTTTAGTATCTGCAGATGTGTTAATTAGTGCAGCTGCTGAGGCACTGAGTGGCCACTGGCCCTGAAATCCAGGAGGACCTGGAACAATTGGGTGGTGATGCAAACCCTGCTGCCTCCTGTGCCCTTTTTCTGTTTTTCTCCTGTCTTCAACCCAACATGTTTTTTTTCCCCATTTTGGAGCCTCATTACCTGCACTGCCTGAGCAGGGTTTTGTTTGTACAGTTGAATACATCCTTTCCAAGGTCTATTTTTAGACCCTGGCCCAAGTGAATGCCACAGTTCTAGAAAAAGGAGTAAACATGGCTTTTCTACAGGGAGAAATTCACTTTGGGTACTTTTTTTTTTTTTTGAAAGCCATAAAGATTGCATGGCAGTTGTATTTCTTCTTTTAATTATAATTTCACATCAAGGCCATTTAAATGAGTTTTGATTTTCCCTGAGCACACCAAAGCACTTGGAGTGCAAGTTTTCTGTTGGTTTAAAAAGTCCCATCTCCAAGTCAATTGTGCTTTTAAATCATGGGAAGTGCTCAAACAGAGCATGCTGTGCTTCAGAGCTTAACCAAAAGTGCAATAAAATAAAGCACAAGTAAAAGCTCTGCCTGCATGATAAAACCTGAACCAATACACTGAAAAATATCAACACTGAGAGCAGAATTCTGTGTAAAACTGGAAGATTTCTTTCCCTGCCAGCCAGAAGCTTCCAAGCTTGGAGGTTTCACCTAAGGAAAATATCTCTAGAGGGAAAAAAATTTCAGCAATAAGGATGAACTGAGTCAGTTGAGGGCTGTTCCAGGAGGGAACATGGGAACAGAGATCACACTGCAAGCAGGACAACCAGCAGGATTTTAAAGGGATTTATCCCTACAGAACAACCTCTTGCTTTTCCACACATCCACGATTTCAACCCAATCTCAGATTTAGGGATGAAACACTTCATCCTGCACAGGAAGATGTGGAAAAAAGGAAGGAGAGTTTCAAAGGAGAGCTGAGCTGGAGACATTTAATCCCCTCATCTCCCAGCATTTTAGACCAGCAGTGCTAACTCTCCCAGCTCTGCTCCCTGGCAGGTCTCCCCCAAGCTTTGCCCCCAGTGATTTAAAACCAGCCCAGGATGACGTGAAGAGTGGATCCACTTGGATTTTCAAGTTTAGTCCACTCCTACAGGTCCCTGGGTGATGGACAGTTTAAAATCAAGTCCAAGTAAGTCACACACTCAACTTACAGACCCTGATTTACAGAACCTTCCCTGGATGATATCACAGAGAAGAAAATGGATAATTACCTAACGAGGATCCTCTTCAACAACTGCTGATCTCCTTCTGAGTAGCCAGGCCAGTCCTTCTGCACTTCTTTGTATACACAATCTTTCAGTGTGAAAGTGCTGTCCTTGGCACTCAGATTTGCCACCTGGAACAGAAGGAATTTGGAAAACCATCATTAGGCTTTCATTTTCTCACTTCCTCCACCAAACAAGAGCTAAGATGAAGGTAAAATCTGAGCAGACTTAGCAGCTGTTAGTAGTGTCAGAGAACTAGGAGAGACTTTAATATTTCATTTCCTTATTATTAAGATTATTTAATCAAACTGTGCCTTTCCTTTCGCCTTGTCACTGCAATAATTCATAATGAGTTTCTAAAGCACATCCAGTTGAGTGGGAAATAAGTCATATCTAAAAGAGATTATTCAGCTTGGGGAGCCTGGACCAGCACAACACCACTTGATGGAAACACCTGGAAATAAAGCCTTAATGGGAACAGGCAGTTCACTTATCACACCTGTCCCACAGCCAAAATGGGGCAGTTTATGGCCAAAGAGGAACTCTCAGGGCGATAACTTGGTTAACAATTGCCAGGAGATAATTTCTCACTAATGAGCCAACAAAACAGGCCACAGAGAGCTGCTTTCTCAGGGAGCTGTGAGGAGAATGCCCTGGGACCACCTGGATTTTATGGAGAACTTCTCCAGGGCAAGAACAGAACGTGGGATTTCCAGCTTCAGGCCAGCAGAGCACTGCAGGGAGCTCAGCACACTTGCACCAGCAGCTGCCTGACATTTTGTCCAACCCTACCCCGTGGAGTTTCCCCACAAAACTCTGCAAGGTGCCTGCACAGAGAGGAGAAGCTGCTGGAATGGGCAGAGCTGGATTAGAATGGAAACGACTTGGGAAAGAGTTACCCCGCTTGGATCAGTCTTTCCACAGCCTGACTGAAAATTTAACTTCTTGCTGTTGGTACAAGCCTGAAAATCCAGAGTTGGAACAAAGCAAAGAGCCCCAGTGAGGCTTTCACAGAGAGTGAACCTCTCCTGGGTGATCCAGAGTGCCATGGAATGGTTTGGTCCCATCAGATTCCAAGGGCAGGGACACCTCCCACTATCCCAGATTGCTCCAACCTGGCCTTGGACACTCCCAGGATGGGGCAGCTTCTCTGGGCAACCTCAGCTTGCAAGTTTCAAATGAAAATAAAGCCTTCAATGTGTTTGTGAAGAGGGATAAGGAGGCCCAGGTGCCAAATGCTCTGCCCACAGGCAGGCAAAGCCAGCAGCTGCAGCCCAAATTCCCTGCTGGAGCCCCTCAGCTCGGGGACTGCCACCCTTGAAAGTGGAAAATGCTTTTATTCAGTGCTTGGAGATCTTGTGCATCTGTTTAGGGATTACTGTTCTCCATTCAGGACGTGGCTGTGCTCAGGGATTTCTATTATCCACACAGCAGGAAAATGCCTCAAAAACAAGCAAAGGAGTGGGAAGTCTTGAATGAACTGAAGATGCTGCTGATTCCCCTGCTTTTGCTTTAGGGAGGCTACAAGCTAATATAAAAATATTAAAAATCTAGGCATTTCAGAGCAAAAGGCTGCACAACCACCACGGCAAACTCTCCCTATAAGCAAAAAATAGAAAGCCCAGTTATCAGTTTACATGACAAACACTTTGTTTTTCCTTTCAGTCCTGTCAGCTTTCCAAAATCCTGAGCCAAAATACAACAAGAATTTGAGCTGTGTTTTACATCGAGGTATCCCTGTAAACACACCCAGGAGACAAAAGCCAATCCAGGTTCTCCTTTACCAAAAAAAACCCAAAAAAACCACCAAAACAACAACTTCTCCCAGAATTTCTCTGTTTCCTGCCTGTTCCTGGAGCCTGGAAAGAACAACTTGGATTTTTCTCTGCACAGAGGCTGAGAGCAGCTACCTCCTTGTTTTGCTCGTGTGGGACTCTGCAAGCTCCACCCCAACCCTCCCAAAAATAGAAACCTTGCAAAATGAGGCAAAAAGGCCGCCAGGAACACGGAGTCCTGCGAGAGAGATGCAAGAGCACAATGAAACCCACACCTAGACAGATTTAGCTGCGTAGCTTTAACACAGCCTGTAATTTTTAGCTTATCTGTGTCTGCCTGTGGATGGGAGCCCTGGGAGGGCTGAGAGGGATTAACTTTACGAGCTCCACGTTCACAGCCAAGGCGGCGTTCAGCCCGAGCGGGGCGGCCCCGTGGCCGGCGCCGCACGCGCCGCTCGCCCGCCGGGGCTCGGGCACAGCATCCATCAAAAGCCACCAGCAGAAACAAGAGAGTTTTCTCACTCTGAAACTCAGGGAGAGAATTGGAAAAAGTGCTGCAAAAAGCGCTGCTGGGAAATTAAGGGCTCTGGGATTAAAGTCTAAGGAAGGAACGAGTTGTGCCAGCTGTGACTCTGTTTTTAATACGACCTGCCCTGTGCCCTTGGGCAAAGTGAACTCCTGTCTCATTCTTTATGGAAAGGAGGAAAAAAGAAAAAAAAAATAAGGAGTTTTTTTTTTTCCAGAATCGATTCCAATCCAGAAGAAGGCAGCTGCAGCATTTAAATAAATAGCCATGATGTGTTTAATAAAGCAATGAAGGTGTTTACTGCGAGGCCTAAAATGGCACCTTTAATGTGACTCAAAGTGCTAGGAACTGATTCAGCTTGGAGACAGCTTTCACACTTGACACACAAATGATGTGCTTGGCAAGGAGCTGCATGATCTTCACACCTGACCACTGGCACTTCCAAGCAGGAAAGGCTCTGAGGAGTACAAAAAAAAACCTGGGGACATCTTTTCCTTCACATACAAAAATTGTACCAATACAGAGCGTTGCTCCTTTACGTCCATGAGAATAAAATGGAGATTTAGAGGTTATAATCAAATAATTTGTAGATCCTCTGTTAAGAGAATCCTCCCCATGACCAAGCAGAAGTGTCCCTCTAAAAGGGACTGATCTGGTGAGCCAAAAGCATCCAGCTTGGTTGCACCCCACTAACCCAAGGCGTAGCCACGGGAGGCTCCTGCTATCTCTGCACCAGCACTGGGAGCTGAGAACTGTGTCCCCCACAGCCTTTAGAGTCACATTCAGCTGCAGCCTGGAGATAGCAGATTCCACTGCCACGGGAGGGGTGGGGTAGTGCTGAGAAGACATTTTTTTTTTTTTTCCCTTTACCTAAATCGTTGCCTTCATCAGAGTACAAACCTGTTGCAGAAGGTTATCCAGCAAATCCTTGTCCTGCTGAGAAAGTCCATCCTTCTGCAATCTGAGAATAAGTTCAGGTTTCTTATAAGGCTTTAGTGCCAGTAAGTGCACAACCCTATCTTTGAAGGGTCTCTGGGAAATCGCACTATTGCCTCTCTTTATTGCACTGGCAAGGTTGACTGGCGTTGGGCGCTTCCTGGAGGGAACAGCATCGGAAGCTCCTGGTGCAGGTTTACGCACCTGAACCTTTTTGCCTAAAATGAGATGAGAATAGTGAAGTGCAGCAGTCACCTCGCAAAAGGCCGGTGGGGCTGTCACCACAGCCCTGGGAAAGTGCCACGAGGTGACAGGGAAGGACAAACACCACCAGCGCGCCCCCTCGGTCCCGGAACGAGCATCCCGTGAGGTTTATGGTTCGTGACAAGCTTGCAACGAGTAAACAGCAACACCAAGCTCTGGAAACCTGAGCATTATTGGCCACCAGCTCACATAAAGCTCCCTTTGTCTGCCAGCTTTTCGTTTATCCCAAGTGCACGTATCCCCCACGGTTAATCGAACTATTTTTTGCCCTCCCTACGAGAAGAAAATTCTGCATTATTATGTAGAAGAGTGGGAAATACGGAGTGGAAAGGCCAGAACTGGTCAACGAGAGGCTCCCCGCTGCTGAGCTCAGCAAAAAAGCTCCTCCAGCAGATGTTTCTGCTTTTAGAACAATAGGAACTTTATGGGGCTGGGTCACCTCCCTTCCCCCTCCAAACACGGCCCCATGAATGGGGCTGACACTGGGCCATCAGCCTATTCATGAGGGTGCTGCCTGTGCTGATGGAATAACCCCTTCTCCGCTGCAGATGAGGGACAACATAAAGCTGCCTCAGAAGTGCATCTCAGCTCCATCCCCACTGAGGTTCTTGGCTGCTGACAGCACCATCCAGCAGTTCATTTTTCCTACTGAAAAACAGAACGCTCACACCATCTCTCAGCAGAGCCCAAATCAAAGCACAGGGACCTTTTCAAACCCAGGAGCAGGTTCCTGCTACCAAAGGCAAACCAAGCAAAGCTGAAAACAAAACGTGTGGGTTGCAAGGTCTAGAAACCTGGAGATCCAATCAATAATCACTTGGGCTGGAGAAAGTGACCTTCACTAGGACAAACAACATCCAGCATTTACTGCAAGTGTTTGGGAGGTTTATTCCAGCAGGGCACTGCTCCATTGCTAGGAAGCAACGTTTGCAACTGAGTCATCTGAAGATACTGGGGATTGTCTGCACTGTTTGTTTTACTGAGCTGCACATTGCGTAACCCAGGCCCCATTTCCTGGCTTTTTATTATACACCACAGTGCTGGGAGAGGAAGCACGAGCCATCCTCAGCAGGGCTGAGGGGAGGTGAGAGGGGGAACAACACCAATTCGCACGTTAAACATCCCACAATCCAGAGGTCAACTGGATTTTGTTTCCAGAAATGGGACAAGAGAAGATTCGTCAGCTTTCTAGAACTGCCTTAACTCTTGCCAGGTCATGAACAGTAAAAACATCACGTTGGGAGGTTTCCATTTAAAGGCTGGAGCCAAAATGTGCAGTGATAGGAAAAGAAAAAACCAAGTTAAGCCAGGACACAAAGGATTTTCAAATATTTATACACGTGCATGTCTGTGGCTGCATGCACACGTATTTAGTGTGGCTACAAGCACACATCCCCTGCAGCTTTACCTGCAGCTATCTATTTACATATCTATTTATTCAAGTGTCAGCTCACATCTGTAAGTTCTGCTGCTCTCCAATTTCAACATTTCCTATAAATTTTTCCACATCTGAGCTGCCTGGAAGGACTCCACTGGCACTCAAGTGCTGAGCTCCGTGTTCTCCTGGAAATGTGAGAGCCAGCCCTGTCCCTCCAGCCCAGGCTGCAGGAATCAGCTGATGCTGCTGGCACACCAGGACCTGCAGATCCCACACGAGGACTGTCCTTCCAAGCCCTTCCTTCTTGGAGCAGAGCTCTCCTCCTCAGACACTGACATCTTATCTAGGAGCCCTGTGAGCACACGCTCTGCCCCTGCTGCTTTCACACGGCTCTGTCTCCATTTCAGGGCAGTAAAAGGTTTTAGCCAGAAGTATTTTTTAATTTTAAAAAGTTTTGCACCATCTTTCCAGGAAGCAAATTGCTTTGAGAATCTTCTCCCTCAGAAGCTTTAACTTCAGGCACTTACTGTAATGTTCTCAAAGAGGAGCTAAACAAAATAATCTTCTGGCCTACGGGAAATCAATGCATTTCCTTCCTGATTACTATCTCCTTTCTCAGCTTTGAGCACTTGGCTGCTGTGACAATGAGTCTGGGTCAGTTCTACATTTTGCAACTCAATCCTCATCACAGATCCTCTGAGAAGAGACTGGCTGCAGATCACATGGGCTGCAGGAGAAGCAGCTGCCTCAGGAAAAAAAAAAAATAGTGAAACTGCATTCTGGTTACTGTTTGTGCCTAAAGTTTGTGAGCTGAGCTTAAGCAGGGCCCTGAGCCCTGGGTCTCTGCAGGCTCCCTGTGTTATTTGCCATGGTTTTATCTCCTCTGCTAAGGCTTTCCTGCTGCTGTCACAGTGAGAAGGGCTGTGCCAGGCTGCTTTAGTGCCTGTGTTTATGAACAGAGGGCACTGCTGCCTGTGTCCTCCCTGCCTTGGTCCCGTGGGGCACAGCTGTGACACGGTGGTGGCAGTTTTAGCTGAGCTGGCCAGGAGCAGGGACACTGGGAGGGCTCAGCAGGGAGCCATGTGACAGATGTGACCTAACACCAGAGCCACGCCACTGCACGTGGACAACCCTCAGTGCTTCAGGCTGGGTGGCACCTTAAAATCACCCAGTGCCACCCCTTGCCACGGGCAGGGACACCTTTGGGTTGCTCCAACCTGATCTTGGACACCTCCAGGGCAGCCACAGTTCCCTTGGGGTGATGATGGAAGTGACGACAACACAACACAAGAGCAGCCCCCTAAATCACCCACGAAGAACTACCAGGAGCTTTCCAGACTGCCACGATCATCCAACAACATCAGGATTTGCCTCCAGAGCCTGCTGAGTCCCAGATGGAGTGCAGAGCCCCAAAAGGAGTGGCTGCTTACCTACATATCTCCCCCCAGGTTTAATGACTATGGCGCTCCGGCTGCGAGTCTCCTCCTCTGCCTGTGCCATGCTCTGCCTCGCCTTCTGGTAGGAATCATCAGTAGCACACACGGTGATTTTATCCTGTATGCTTCCCAGGCAATCCAAATGGATATTGCCATTGCTGCAAGAGAAATGCAATGGAAAAGGTACTCCTGACACTGCAAAGGGACACCAGGCTGGCACTGGGGGACAGCTGGGGGGTGTTAGCTGAATAATAGTGAGGGGACACATAGAGGACCTGAGAGGGAATCAGATGCTTCCCAAATAAAACCACATCAAAATAGATCAGAACGACTCTGAAAATGAAGAATGTGCATTAAGCTTTGTTAGGGAAAAGATGCTCCAGAAGAGAGGATTCAAAAAAAAAAAAGCAAACCAAAACTAAAAACAGCTGGGTTTTCCTTGGATGCCCACTCACCTGGACACATACTGCTGGATGCAGTCAAAGCTCCCCTGGGGGCTGTCCTTGCCAATATTGGAGAGATAAAAGGTGAAGGTCCGCACTTCCGCCGGTCGATCGGGCCTCGGGATGGCGATGTGCTGCTCGGGAGAGGAGGAGCAGGAGGGAGAACATTGGTCACCAGGGTCACCCCAGGCTCAGGAGAGCTCAGTTCTCCTGCAGCCAGGATGCTCTGAGGCATTTTGCAACAAGGAAAGCACCTGGGTTACTGCACGGAGAGGCTGCCAGAAGAATTCACTGTGCGCAGGGGGAAGGAAAAGGCGACTGAGGGAAAGAGCAGCTGAAGGTGGATGTGGCTGTGAGAGAACAGAGCTGCCTCAAACAGAGCCCACAACCACCTTGTTCTAGGAATCTGACCCAATTCTATTGATTCAGCCTCAAAACAGACTCGCTCCCACTGTTTATGCTCAACGTAAAACACTCGAGGCTCGTTTCTTTCGAATTACTGATCCAGCACTAAACATAGCACAAGCCAGGTCACTAGGTAGCATGCTTATTCTTTTTTAAGAAATTATAATTCCATAACAAGATTTCATGGCTCACAGTAGAGTGTGACGCTGCTGCTAAATTAAATATTTAATCAAGCATTAAGTGTGCTCCACAGACAACTCCACAGCCATCCTGCATTGTTTTTTTCAAGCCCCCCCCCAGCCATTCATTTTTCAAAAGGGAAAACTGTCTCCCCTCTGCATTCAGGATCCAACATAAATGCCAGCATCTGAGCTCTACTATCACATCAATATTTGATAATTAAGATGGCTCCCAGAAGCTGAGACAGAAGGAACACCAACCCCAGCCTATTTCAGGCCAGGCTTTACCACATGGATTTATATTTACCCAGATTGCCACATCTACGTAGAAAACACACACTCCCAGCAAGCCAGCCCGTGGCATCCACACATGACTGTGCTGGGACAGGAGGGGTTTTGGGTGGTTTCCTTCAGACCTCAGACGTCTCCAGCAGCCTGGAAAACCCAGGGATCTGTGTCCCTCTGCTAAACCACAGGATGTTCTCAGAGGCAGCAAGAAGCTCTTGAGCCGAGCCCGAGCACGGCGTTTCCCTGCCCTCAAACAGAGCTCCCTTCTTCCAAAAATGAGCCAGAAACCCAGACTTGTGCCTTGCTTTATACAGGAGGACAAGTTATCCCCAGGATCCTGGTCTGAAAATACTGGGAGCAGATTTTTTTGGGTGCTGCTGGACCCTCCCTGAGCAGCCTCATTATCTCCCTTGCCAAACGTGTGCCGCAGCCCTTGAGCCCTTTTAATCTTTCCTGGCATCCTCTGCCCCCACCCAGGCAGGGGGAAGAAAATTCCCTTCTGCTTTACCAGAAGAGGCAGAGTTATGTAAGCAGCAGACTTGGGGGGTGGATTTTGCAGCTGGAAATTAGGTAGGAATGGGAAGAAGAGGAAATACTCAACAGGGGGAATCGAGCTGTGCTGCACCTGAGCCTGGAAAATAAAACCTGCAGGGTGTCACCAAATCACATCCCCACACACCAAAGAACTTTCTCCTCGTTCCTGCTTTACCCACTGGAAAAACCAGCTGCTGCAAAAGGCCCAGGTTTGAATTTTTGTAAGGTTTTTGCAGCATTTCCAGAGGCTGTAAAATGAGGCAGAGTCACTTTAGTACTGAAAAGTCTCTCATGTGCAAGCTGGCCGTTATCTAGGAATTATTTTTAGCTGAAAACAGAAGGTTTCTTAAGCCACCAAATCAGCATGGTGACTGCTTTGAGGGAGCCCTAATTTTGGTGCTGGGTACTGCACCAGTAACCAGAGACACTTAAAAATAGCTCAGTACAGATGTAACTTCTGTTTTCTTCTTTCAAGTAACATTCATCTGTGGACAGCTCGCTCTGAACTGAGATTTCACCTCCCTCTCTTAATACCAAAACTTCATCCCAAGAAGCAGGGGAAAAGCTGTATTTTCCAATCACAAAGCAAAGATGTTTTGCTCCCAACAGTCATTCTAAAAATGCTGCACACACACGTGGGTTTGGCACCTGAGGGGTATTTTTCCCCCCCTCAGTTCAATTCTGCCCCTGCTTTCACCACCCCACAAGCACCTGCAAATTTCAGCCAGCCTAAGCTCTGATTCTGCATGTCTTTTCACCAAAATAGATGCATTTTCAGTTATTCTAGCACAGCTCTGCACACAATCTGTAATGCTGTGGTACTCCAGCTCTTAAATTCTAATTTACATGCATACTGCAACGAGAAAAATGCTCAAAACTCCACCAAAACTCATGAAAGTACCCAAGAAAATCCACGAGGAAAAACTGACAGCCAGGTGCTGCTCCTAAGGAATATCCATGGTCCCACTTCAGAGGAACCCTCTGGTAAAAACAACCTGGTTATAACAACTGAAATTCTGATTATTACACAGAATAAAAGCCATTAACAGGAGCAGCATCAATACAGAGAAACACATCTCAAAGCAAAATCCCCCAAAGTTTTTATCAGCTCCTGTGAGATTGGATCCAGACCAGGATGCAGGAGAGGTTTGTCCCTTGTCACTGGAACAGCTGTTTTATTTTGGGCTGCAACCACTGACTTCCTCCTTTCTGCTGCCACCTTGCTGACCCTGGGTTTTATTCCAACAATTCCCTTCCCTGGTTAATTAGTGTCTCAAACGTGGAAGTTTCTTTTTCTGTGTATTAGAAACTGAAAGTATTTTTGACAGCTTTTAGAGTAACACTGGAACAGGGCAAAACACATGGACACAGTAATTTAAAGGCTTCTAGAGAATTAAATTCAAGAAGCAGCAGTTTGTTAAAAATCTTATTTTATACCCTGCCTCCTTAAATCATCAAGTGAAGCTTTTCCCTCTTGAGAGAGGAATACTTGCACAGAAAATTGCCACTATTAAAACCTGACTGCTTTAAACCACACTGTCACTTGTGCTGTGCACAACCTTCCCACCCCAAAAAATGAATGGGATTCTCCACAGCTGCTTTTTTTTTTTTTTTTTGGGAAACAAAACAGGAAGGCAGCAAATTGGGGAATTGAGGAAGAAATAATTTACAAATAAGCAAGCAAAATGTTTTAATGCTTAAAAGTAAAATATGTTTTAATGCCAATCCTCTGGATGTGAGAGCCTGGTAAATTCCTGGAATTATCTCTTCAGCCCAACTGATGGAGGATCCCTCGAAAGCATTTCAAGCCTCAGCTCCTTAAAAAGCAGGAGAATCCTGACGTGCAGAGTCCTACCCTTAAAAGCAGATGGTTCCCCAGCTGCCAGCTCCTTGTCATACCCAGGAAAAATAATAATAAAGGGACAAAGAGCTCTTTCTGTGCGCTCCCATGGAGCTGCAGCTCTCTTCAAAGCTCTACCTTTGGCCTTTCCTCGTCAGTGCCATTAATTAAGCACTGAGGAGGAGCAGGCAGAGGTCAGCTCTGGCTGCCACATCCTCCCTCCAGCCCAGCCCAGCCCTCCTGGCTCCTCTCCTTCTCCAAGGAGTGACACTGCAGGTGCCAGGCAGCTCCTCCACCAACGACTCATCCCTGGGACTTCAGGGCTCAAACAGAATTAACTCTTTTATTTTTGTATTTTTATGTAATTGTATTTTTATATTTTTCATTTCTAGAAGCAGCTGTAGCATTTGGAAATATTTTAAATTGGCCCCAGAAATTAATATTTGTTGCTAATTCTTGTCCACATCAGATCCCTGTGGAACCCTGCACGAGCAAAGGCTCAGGACAGAGGAGCACTTTAAGCTGTTCTGATCCCTTTTGCTACATTTCCTTCAAGGAAAAACATTCAGAGGAGGCATTTCCAAAACTTAAACACCTTTACAAGAACAGTCAGGTGTAGATCCTGCTTCCAAAGGGAAAGGAAAGCATTCCCAGTGCTTTTAGCCTCTTTATTCCATGAGCAAAGCTCATCAAATAAAACACACCAGCCACCCTCCTCCTCTCTTCTGACTGTGCCCAACCTCAGTGGCAGATTTTGATCTCCACTTTCATGCTGAGCTTTCAGGGAAGTTTAAGTCTAAACAAAGTAAAAAACCTGGAAATTGCTCCTTTCTTTATTTCCCAGGACAAGAAGGTTTGTATTTTTTTTTCTAAACTTATAATAACAATCATGTCTTTCCTGCTATATTTTCTGTGGACTGTTAGTGAGAATAATATCACAAAGTAGGATGTGGGCAAGGACAATGTGCTGGGTTTAATGTCCACTCAATCCAAGCCTTTTTAAAAGCTTTAATGTGCCACTGCATAAAAAATAACCAGAAGTTACAGCTGAATTCCAATTCTTGAAAAAAAAAAATTAAAAAAAATTAAACTCCCCTTCTTTATGCAGAAACTAAAGTCAAACACAGGCTTTTTTAGAAATAAAAGGTATCTAAATGACATTTTTCAAGTTCACTGAAGGGCTGCATTGCTTTACCAGAAACACCACCACGTAAATCTCAACGTTGTCAGCAACTGGGCATGACAGGCTGGTTCAAGGGGCTAAAAATATCCCAGAGTTCTGTCACTGGAACAGAAGTTGGGGAAGTAAAACTCCTAAATCTAAAATAACTTCTGGTACTCCCAGAACTGCAGTTACATTAAATAAACCTCCAGGACACTCAGAGCAGCCTCCAAGCTCTGCTGCTGGAAGGATCTGGGACCTAAAAATTCTTGCAGTGAGTTTAGCACGGTGTTTTCTTGGGATGCAGGTGAAGATTGCATGGATTTCTGCTTCCTTTCTTTTCCCTGTTCTACCTAATTCATAAATCTGAATTTCCCATGGATTTAGCAAGGTTAGGAAATAAAGAGGGAAAAGGTTTTAGAGAGACCCCACAAGCAAACACCTTCCTGGAGCACACCTGAAGCTCCATCTCAGCAATCACAGCATCATTCCTTGAGCTGGAACAGCCCAAAATTCCTCAATCCCATTAAATGGAAAAGAACTTTCCAGGGACAAACTTACCCCTTGGCTTCCTTGAAACTGGATGACTGGTTTTGACGTCACAGCATCCTATAAAAACAAGTGGAAAAACAAAAATTACCTCAGAGAAATTCTAAACTCGGCCAAGTTCACCAAGCCACGCTCAAGATTGATTTTTCACCTGGTTTTACTTTGCTTTTTTTTTTTTTTCCAAGGGGAAAGGTCAGGGAAGTGTGTATTTCAAGCAAGAAAGCAAAAAAAATATCCTGAAACAGTGATTTTTACCAGGAAAAAGGATAAGCTAAGGTCATCCTGAGCTCAGGAGAGGAGCAGCTCTTGGTTCCTCCTGACCCCTCCACCACATTTTGGGCACAGAACAGCACAGCTTTGATGCTTATGTAAGTTTTGAGTTAAAAAATGGACACTTGAGGGGAAAATTTATTCCAGTTCTCTGCCTGAGAGGACGCAGAGCAAATTTTTTCCAGGAGAAAGCTGGCAATCCCTTGGAAAAGCAAACTGCAGCTCCGTTGCAAAATCCTGTTGCTGCTTTGCCTGTTTCAACAATTGGCCTCTTCCTCCAGGCTCAGCTGCTTACATTTAAAAAATTGTATTCCTGTGACTCTAAAACTGCTCAATTTCAGCCTTTTTGCCTCGCTGTCATTTCAGAGATCCCAAAGACATTTCAATTCCAAGTCTCACCTGAGTTTTTAAGTGAAGAAAAAAGAACCAGACCCAACCCAAGGCAGGCTGAGTTTGGATTCCTCCAATTCCAGCAGAATTGGGGCTGCGGATGTTTTCTTTCCTAAATCACACAAAGTATCCAAGACAGGGATTGTGCTCCGTGGGACCCCATTGTGAAGCTTTCCAAAGGGACAGAAGAATTTATAAATAAGTTGAAAGCATCATTTATAAGTGAAAATGTTGTCATGTGTATGGGAGACACATTTCCATGGGGAAACCACAAGGAATTTGGGAAAACAAGCCCAAAACACGAGGTGGATTGTGCTGTTTGTGTCACCCAATCTCCAACGGATCCATTTCCAACAGATTAGAGAAATAGATATTTAAATTTTAACAGCAAGGAGTTAAACAGCTTGAAATTAATGAGTTTAACCATCCCTCAGAAAACTTTTCCAGCCTAGCAGTGAAGAACTCAGGCACGACATCAACAAAAAAATGGATAAATTCATCAGCAAAACAAAAATCCTTTTAGCCCAGATAAACCTAACAAAACGTGGATGGATAAACCCAGCCCAAGACAGAGTCTGAGTCTCTGAAGAGCCCATCCAATAGGATTTCCCAGCCCTGCATCACACCCAGGATCATTACAGGACATTTATGATGCTGAGGAAAGCAGGAACACGCTCAGAGCTGACAGCACTCCCTGAGTGCCTGGATAAAGAATTTTATAGACCCAGAAGAACCTTTAGAAAAGCACCAATAAACAACATCTTGCTCTTGGTACAGAGATCACTGAATTCCTCGAGTGCCACGACACTGCATTCCACAGCACACTGTTCATGCACAGCCTGGCCAGCTTTTTGTTCCCCGTGTCCAGAAATTCAGAGGAACATACTTGAGCAAACAAGCATTTGAAAAAAGATAAAAATCTGGATTTAAGGAAAGAAAAAGAAAAAGAAAAAAAAAAAAAACCCAACAAAAAAAACACCAAACCAACCCATGTGGCTCTTGGACAGCAAATTACAGATTTGGGAAGTTCTGCTCTTTGGTCTGGGAAGTTGTTTAAGGGGAATAAAAAGGGGGTAAGGAGGATGGAAGTGGAATAAGGAGGCAGGAGCAAAAGTCCTGATGCACAAATCAGACATGGTTTAATTACAGAACTTATAAATCCCACAATCTACAAATAAACCGTGAAGTTGAGTGGGTAATATCAGCTTTCTGTAAGTTCAGTGGCAAAGCTGAGATGTATTTCCCAAAATTCAGCATTTCTGCCTGTGCCTGTTTGGCATCCCTGTGGAGGAACAGTGCTGGAAGTCCCAGCCAGGCTCCAGAGGGGATCCCAGGGAACAGATGGATCTGGATGGACACTGCAAATCCCAGGTCCCTTTTGAGGCAGGGAAGGAATTTTGGGGTCTCAGCAGCACCATCCCTGAGCCTCCCCTGATGTCCAATTCCTTGGCTACAGCTCCTTCAGGATGTTCATGCAAGAGGAGAGCACACTGCACACCCTGAACTAATTAAGGATGTGACTCTAAGTACCTTTATTAGATGAAATTAAATCCCTGCATGGACACCTTCATTCAGAATAAAAAGAACACATGAATGAGTGAAACCAAATTAAAACCACATTTCCATTTATATCTTCATTTGGGTTAACTTCTTTGGATAGCTTTGGATGAACAACCCTGATTATCAAGAGTTCCTGCTGCCATTTCCAAAATCCCTCTGTCATTTTCTCAAGAGTCACCTCAGAGTCACTCAATTCCTCTTCCTTAGTGATGCCATGACTGAACTTCCTGTGTTCCAGTTCCTAGAAATGCCATTCCATCTTTTCTGAGTGGGAACAAGGTCTTTGCCTCTGCCTTTCCAATTAAACCAAGTCAGCCCTGCACGCAGCAAATCCTTGGCAAATCAAGGATGCTGAAGAAACCCCATCTTTGTGTTCAAACAAGAGGAAAACAAGCTCCTCACACTTAAATATTCCAGGTATGGCACATGGAAGCTGAGGAAATAATAGGAAGAACAAGAAAGTGTCAATAAAATAGGGAAGAATTGAATGTAAAATGAATTATTTTATCAGGGCTGATTGAAGCTGGCCAAAGGTTTTCAACACCTTTAGAGGAAAAGCTGGATGGATGTTCCTACCCAGGATCAGAAAGGACACTGGAAATACTCAGGTCAAGGAGCCAACTGGAAACCTCTCTGTTTCTTCAGGGAAATACATATAATTAAAGAAGACATCATTTTGGGAAGTTCTGTCGTGTATTTACTGGAATTTATACTGCAGGCTGTGTTCTATGGAAAATAATTGCCTAAACTTAGTATTGATGTGTTTTTCTGTTTTGTTGGATGTTCAGAGCCACCAATGCCCAGAGTGGAGCTGAAAATTTACCCTTATTTGTGTTGGAACAAGGGGATTATTTTCAGAATTTAAAGCTCCTTACAAACAGTTTAAATTAGTAGCAAGAATTCCAATAAATATACAAAGAAACTATAAAATCCTGCTAAGCAAGGCTGGCATCAATGGGATGTTTCCAACCATCATGTGCAATTCCAGGTAAAACCAGTGCTCAGGTAAAGCTGCTGCACCTCAGGAAGCACTTACAAAAATGGGAACAACAAGAAATTGCTTAAAAAAGCACAAATTTCTGACTCTGTAATGCCCCAAACTCCAAGTTCCTCTTTAATTCTTTGGTTATGACTGGTTTATGTTTCTTTAGCCCACACAGCAAGGTCCAAATTTAGGCAAGGTTCCCTCCCCTGCTTCCTCTGGCACAGCTGGGCCAAGGGTGGGATAAAAAAGCCCCAAATCCAGGAGGATCCTCAGTTTAAGCACACCTGGATACCTGAGAAAAGCTCCTGCAGAGCTCCCCAGATTTCATTTTGCATTCATATTTTTGCTTTAAACACCCCAAGAGCTTGCAAAGCAAAGCAGAGTCCAAAGGCAAAGCAGATCCACCCCGAGCCAGGAGACACCTCCGGGTCCCTGAGTTCATTAGCAGCAAGAAATTCAAATCCCAGGGGGCAGGAATACCCTGGAACAGACCCACAGCTCCAAGTGAAGCTGTGTGAGGTTTGCTGGAAGCCAATTAGCCCAAGCTGGCCCAGGAGAGAGCCACTGAGGCTTCTCCCAGGACATTCCACTATTCCAAGGCCTGTATTTACCTCCTCCCTCCCAGAAACTGAGCAGCCAAAAAAGCCTCCTGAATATTCCTTTTTTTCATGTCCCATCTATTACTTATGGAATTAAAACGCCGTCTCCCTGCAACACAATTTCCATCTGCAATTTGGGGCCTCTCGAGGATCCTGTTTGAAGTTGAGCACACATGGGATGGAGTTCTGCTGTGACTCGAAAATTACAGTTTTGCTATTCAAATCCAACATTCTCATGGAAAGAGCCTTGGAAATTCCATGTAAATCCACCACTGGTTGAGGCTTTCCACTCGAGAGAGGTGCCAGCTGCCCAGGTGAGCCGTGGGGATGCTGCTGGAGGATTTTAGGATTCACCCACCTCCTCCCAGGGATGCTGATGGGATCCTGCAAACCCCAGGGAGCAGGAGCAGAGCAGGGTGTGACAGGAGTTCCTCAGGCTGCAATCCTGAAATTATTCCATGGACACCTTTGCTGACTCCTCCTCTCCAAGATAATCCCATTTATCACCTTGATGATCCAGTGCTCTCACAGACCCCCCTCATTTTCCTCTCCCTGACATTTAAAAGAATTTATTTGGGGCAGAAGTGAACACTCCAGCTTTTAACAAAAATAATTATTTAAAAGGTTGCTTTTGATGAAGGTTTAAGGGCTGGACTCTCACCAATTACTCTAAACTGTAGTTTGTATTTATTATTTATCATTTGCCTAATAGGCATTAATGGACACATTATCACCATAATATTAAAGCACCTACAAATCCTGCCCAGAAGTACAAGCAGCAATAAAATGCTCAAAAGCTTTTATGTCAGCCAAAATGCTAGGCTGTATGTTTGAAAGTTTTTAATTGCTAAACTGCAAAAGGCACAGTGGCTTCTTTGGTTCTAATTGCATCATTTAAAGTGGGCTGTTACAGCACAAATGTTGCTTCCTCAGTAGTTTAATTTTCCAGGGTTAAAAATTGAGTGTGTTTCTATAAGATCTAAAATAAAGAAGTTTAAAGTGTCAGCTAAAAAAACCCCAACTTGATTTGCTGAAATTTATGGTTATGTTAAAGAATTTTACAATTCCCAGCTCCTCAAACTTACACAATTTCATTCACCATCCCCAGCTCCAAAGTTACAGAATTTCACCATTCCCAGCCCAAAAGTTACAGAGTTTCACCATTCCCAGCTCCTCAGAGTTACAGAATTTCACCATTCTAATAAAATTACCAATTTTACCAGGAAGCATCACCAGCAGGCTTTGACATCAGCACA